GAGTTTTCCGACTGTCGATGTGTGGCGTTCGTTGACAGAGTAGGCGGGGCTGCCTAGCTGGCAGTGTTGTCAGAGTTTATTAAAAACCTTTTGTCACCACTAGGGGTCAGACTTGCCTCAGATTTCAGCTGTTGCCTTCACTCTTCGGCCATATTAAATGTGAACCTAAAAAACATGCTTAATTGGAACATATCCATTGAAAGCGCTTTTTAGTCCAGGACTAGCCTTATTCTTGCGCTTGGAAACCAGCGCTATGTGTTCAGGGCTAAGCTTTTGCACTGATTTTACTTCTTAATATTGTTCTGAGGGTCTTGATGTTGTGGAGGCACTTTTCAATGCATGGGGTATACATTTACATTTTAGTCATTTAGGAGACGCTCTTATCCTGCGCGACTTACAGTAGTGAGTGCATATATTTTCATACTTTTTCATATACAGTCAGTGACATGCATTGTGCTATAGCCTAGCCATTCTAATTTGAGCAGTCAGAGATTATTTCTCTGGTGCTGTCACGACTAGCGCTTGAAGTGAAATGTAGAAGGTGCCAGTGGTTTGTTTACTAGTTCATATTTTACAGCTGCTGGATGGTAGGCTACTTCATTACCAAACAATTAGGGGGGCAGGCCGGTTGGTCGGCACCAGCTCACTACTTCAACTACTGCTCAAGACCATTGCAGTGGTCACTTTCAGTCATAGTGTTCAAAATGACACATACTGTAGATAGGATATCAGTCTACAATCTCCTGCACTGTGAAGCAGAGAGTGGCCATGCAATGCAGAGTGTGATCTGTTTCTCATTAGTGTGAGTCTGGTCTGGGCTGTAGTCGGCTGTTTTGTTTCCCCTTTCATCTTTTACAGTGTTTGGTGGTGGAATCTGAAGCCTAGCCTACACACATACCTCTGGGCAGAGTCTCTTCTATATATGGGCGGGGTCTCCTCTCTCTGACACGCTGGCACAGCAGAGGCCTTCTGCCACACAGCTGATAAAGCCTGGAGACCATCACTACAGTATGTCTGTCGCCAGGGAGACAGGAAAGGGAAACTCCCCCATGTCAGATGTTACAACTTGAGATCAGTTGACTTTGTAGGGAACTCAGAGCTTGAAATGTAATCTGAACACTTTGTGTAGACTGACTGAACACAATGCATCAGATGAACGATATATTTCTCTCTCTCTCTCTCTCTCTCTCTCTCTCTCATCTCTCTCTCTCTCTCTCATCTCTCTCTCTCTCATTCAATTTAAGGGCTTTATTGGCATGGGAAACGTGTGTTAACATTGCCAAAGCAAGTGAAGTAGATAGTAAACAAAAGTGAAATAAACAATAAATATTAACAGTAAACATTACACTCAGAAGTTTCAAAAGAATAAAGACATTTCAAATGTCATATTATGTATATATACAGTGTTGTAACAATGTGCAAATAGTTAAAGTACAAATGGGAAAATAAATAAACATAAATATGGGTTGTATTTACAATGGTGTTTGTTCTTCACTGGTTGCCCTTTTCTTGTGGCAACAGGTCACAAATCTTGCAGCTGTGATGGCACACTGTGGTTTTTCACCCAGTAGATAAGGGAGTTTATCAAAATGGGGTTTGTTTTCAAATTCTTTGTGGATCGCTGTAATCTGAGGGAAATATGTGTCTCTAATATGGTCATACATTTGGCAGGAGGTTAGGAAGTGCAGCTCAGTTTCCACCTCATTTTGTGGGAAGTGTGCACATAGCCTGTCTTCTCTTGAGAGCCAGGTCTGCCTATGGCGGCCTTTCTCAATAGCAAGGCTATGCTCACTGAGTCTGTACATAGTCAAAGCTTTCCTTAAGTTTGGGTCAGTCACAGTGGTCAGGTATTCTGCCACTGTGTACTCTCTGTTTAGGGCCAAAAAGCATTCTAGTTTGCTCTGTTTTTTTGTTTGTTCTTTCCAATGTGTCAAGTAATTCTCTTTTTGTTTTCTCATGATTTGGTTGGGTCTAATTGTGTTGTTGTTGTTGTTGTTGTCCTGGGGCTGTGTGGGGTCTGTTTGTGTTTGTGAACAGAGCCCCAGGACAAGCTTACTTAGGGGACTCTTCTCCAAGTTCATCTCTCTGTAGGTGATGGCTTTGTTATGGAAGGTTTGGGAATCGCTTCCTTTTAAGTGGTTATAGAATTTAACGGCTCTTTTCTGGATTTTGATAATTAGCGGGTATTGGCCTAATTCTGCTCTGCATGCATTATTTGGTGTTTTATGTTGTACACGGAGGATGTTTTTGCAGAATTCTGCATGCAGAGTCTCAATTTGGTGTTTGTCCCATTTTGTGAATTCTTGGTTGGTAAGCGGACCCCAGACCTCAGAACCATAAAGGGCAATGGGTTCTATAACTGATTCAAGTATTTTTAGCCAGATCCTAATTGGTATGTCAAATTTTATGTTCCTTTTGATGGCATAGAAGGCCCTTCTTGCCTTGTCTCTCAGATCGTTCACAGCTTTGTGGAAGTTACCTGATGCGATGATGTTTAGGCCGAGGTATGTATAGTTTTTTGTGTGCTCTAGGGCAACGGTGTCTAGATGGAATTTGTATTTGTGGTCCTGGCAACTGGACCTTTTTTGGAACACCATTATTTTTGTCTTACTGAGATTTACTGTCAGGGCCCAGGTCTGACAGAATCTGTGCAGAAGATCTAGGTGCTGCTGTAGGCCCTCCTTGGTTGGTGACAGAAGCACCAGATCATCAGCAAACAGAAGACATTTGACTTCAGATTCTAGTAGGGTGAGGCCGGGTGCTGCAGACTGTTCTAGTGCCCTCGCCAATTCGTTGATATATATGTTGAAGAGGGTGGGGCTTAAACTGCATCCCTGTCTCACCCCACGGCCCTGTGGAAAGAAATGTGTGTGTTTTTTGCCAATTTTAACCGCACACTTGTTGTTTGTGTACATGGATTTTATAATGTCGTATGTTTTTCCCCCAACCCCACTTTCCATCAATTTGTATAGCAGACCCTCATGCCAAATTGAGTCAAAAACTTTTTTGAAATCAACAAAGCATGAGAAGACTTTGCCTTTGTTTTGTTTTGTTTGTTTGTCAATTAGGGTGTGCAGGGTGAATACGTGGTCTGTCGTACGGTAATTTGGTAAAAAGCCAATTTGACATTTGCTCAGTACATTGTTTTCATTGAGGAAATGAACTAGTCTGCTGTCAATGATAATGCAGAGGATTTTCCCAAGGTTGCTGTTGACGCATATCCCACGGTAGTTATTGGGGTCAAATTTGTCTCCACTTTTGTGGATTGGGGTGATCAGTCCTTGGTTCCAAATATTGGGGAAGATGACAGAGCTAAGGATGATGTTAAAGAGTTTAAGTATAGCTAATTGAAATTTGTGGTCTGTATATTTTATCATTTCATTGAGGATACCATCAACACCACAGGACTTTTCGGGTTGGAGGGTTTGTATTTTGTCCTTTAGTTCATTCAATGTAATTGGAGAATCCAGTGGGTTCTGGTAGTCTTTAATAGTTGATTCGAAGATTTGCATTTGATCATGTATATTTTTTTTGCTGTTTGTTCTCTGTTATAGGGCCAAAAAGATTGGAGAAGTGGTTTACCCATACATCTCCGTTTTGGATAGATAGCTCTTCGTGTTGTTGTTTGTTTAGTGTTTTCCAATTTTCCCAGAAGTGGTTAGAGTCTATGGATTCTTCAATTACATTGAGCTGATTTCTGACATGCTGTTCCTTCTTTTTCCGTAGTGTATTTCTGTATTCTCTCACGTCATTGTAGAAATGCTGCAAAACAGTGCACGGACCAGATCAAATAAAAATAAAAAATAAGACACCTTGAAGGTCTGGATACAATTATCTCCGATACAGCCGGTTACCTGCTGTGGTGCCTGCTGTGTAAGGGGAAGTAGGTGAGAGGGATCAAATTACTTCCCCTCATTACTCATAGACACACATTGATACACTGATGTTCCTCCTGTTGGAAGGGCTGTGTTGTGTTGCCTCAGTTTACTGATGACTAGCAGTGAGTTTACCATAACACACCTAGTGAACATACAAAACAATACCAGAGAAAAATATAAAGAAGAAGTAGCCTAAAAATAGAATGTGCTGTCACTATTTTGTCATTACACATAGGTATTGAGTCTCCTATGGTTATCCAACTCTTATACAGATTTCAATTTATACATTGTTAAAGGCTGAACTCTTGTAATGTAGGCCTACGCAGTTTAAGCAAACTTAATAAGCCATTAACAGGTTGTAGTTTTGAATGCTGATCTGACTAGCCGTGGCCTCCGGTTAGAGAGAGCAATGCTGCTGTTTTAAATTATGCCAGCCATATAAATAAGTAATAGTCGATGTTAGCAAAGTCACTATCTATGATTTTACAAGTGCATATAATGTAATTCAGTCACACTGCCCTAAATTATAACGTCTAGTAGTCAACTTTCACCTCATCTTATAGCCAGGCTATGAAACCAATGAAAGGATTTACACTGCATTACATCTTATATTCCTGTTTTCATAACCGCACTCCATGTCAAAGATATTAAGATATTGGCTTCATTTTTGCATAGAGTATATTCAAAATCGTCAGAGGAGAAATTGAGAACATGGTAATATGGAAGTCAGCAGTTTTAAGAAAACAGACTAACTCCTTTGAGGGAGGGATAAGTTGCAGTCCCTTCAGTTGTTTCAGCACGGTAAATCTTTGTGTCTCTGTTATTTCACTTCAACAGAACCCGTGCCAGAGAGAGAGAGAGAGAGATAGAGAGAGTATTGAAACCTGCTGAAATTCATTTCCTCTTTCGCAAAATACGTTTCTGTTCTTCAAATTATTGCAAGCCCTCAGTTTCTCTAACCGGAGCAGAGGTTATTTAAACTCAAACACCACCCAAAACCGTTGAGACAGTATTTCAGAGCTGTAGCTAAGGTGAAGTAAACAACTGCATTATGTGATAAGTTAATAATTTCCTATACATGCAAACACTGCAACACACAAATGCTATTTGCAATTTTCCTCATTTAGTTTATATGATGTGTTTATTCATTTTACATACTCAGTTACTTCAAAAATGGTTCACAATTATCCTTCCTCTTTTAATCCTAATGTATACATGACAAGAATATTCCATATTTCATATACTCATCCTTTTGCAACATACTGCAGCTTTGACAGAGCAACAAGGCTCAAGTTACTTCCATCAAATGTTGCTTTAGAATGTAACTTTCATAAACTGCTTTGTCAAAGTACAACTGTTTTATAAAATGGCCTTACAAAGCAGTTGTAAAATAAATTACATCACCAATACATAATTCATATTCCCTAATAATATGTTGGACTGGTTATGTTAAATCAGCCTTAGGAAGACACTAATTTAGTAATATACATTTGCATAACTGCCTTTAAAGCGATGTGCCAAATTTAGGCTTGCTGTGAGTCTACAACTCTCTTAGCCAGTCCCAGCAGCATAGGATATCTGAGGGTCCTGTTCTTCCAAGACTCTGGGATTCCCTGAAGACCAGTCTGGAAAGACAAGGCAGGAGGAACAGATAAAGACTACAGTATATAAAATGCTGAGCCTTCAGAGCAGACACAAAGCAATCCATCCGAGGTCAAACTCATTACCCAGGCTGAAACTATGGACAGGGGATCCAGATAGACCAATACAAATTTCAATAAAAGTGTTTTTATTGCTTACTCATTATATAGGCTACAACTTATAGTCGACGTTTATAAATTGGATGAAGGTTTACTTATAGAACAAATAACTTGAATGATTAGATTTGAAAATCCGACTGTGTGGAATGTCTTACAATCGAATGGCCATTTAACAACTATGTAAATACTAGCTAGCTACTTCTGATTAATAAAAGTTATATATTTTGATAATATTTGCATGGGCCATACAGTATAACTGACTGTAAGTTGCTCTGGATAAGAACGCCTGCTAAATGACCAAAATGTAAATGTAGGGTTTCGCTCCAACCTGTGCTCCAAAACAGGCCCCTATGAATGAGGCCCTACTGGCGGTGCATCCCCCGCAGCGCATGGTTCCCCTGACTGCCTCCTCCAGCTGGCTCAGTGTCAGGACCCCGTGTAGCGCTCCCTGGAATGCACCTGGCAAGGCTGGGGATAGGAACCACAGACACAGATAAGGACCAAGAGGGAGATACAGAGAAGTAATTGTCTTCATACTATTTATTCATGTCATCAATGATTCAATATATTTCTTAAGTTTTCTTGGGCGATGTATGTGGTTATATTTTCCATGTCAATAAATCCTTTTGAATTGAGAAGGGAAGGGGGGAATACACCAACATTAGTTACACACATCCTAACATGTGTTTTAGCTTCAAAGGTGCAGGAGGTCCCGTCTCCCACTTCAGACGGGAGGGAAATAAAAGGACAGGTTCATTAATGATCAAAGACTACAGAGAAAGAAAGCACCTTCTTAGACCAGGGCTAACTAACTAACTAGCTAACGGATGTGCTGACTGGGATGGTGTGGTTACGGTGCCAAGTCGACAGACTGGACCCTGCTGCTGCCACAGCCGTGCTGGCGACACCACCTACCTAGTGTGTGTGTGTGGGACCTACCTCATGTGTTAGTGAACACAGCAGGTATCAGCTCTGGGGAATGCTTGGCTAAGTTGTCCTTCACCTGATAAATATGTGCTGCAATGATGAAAGGCAGAGTGAAATGCAACATTTAACAATTCCAATATGCATTATTTATTACCATACCTTGGGGGAAATTATATTTCCTTCATTAACCTGCCACTCAAGATTTTATGTACATTTACATTTTACAGTCTTGTGTTACCTTTTAGGTTTTGACTTGCTGAGATTCGGCTGTTCCCACCATTGTATTAATAGATAATATACAATATGTATGATCTTGCGCTCATAGGAAATTATTAAAATAAATCAGTTGAGATGTACATCCTATCTCTATCCTTATCACCAAGGCTGCACATCAAATGGCACCCTATTCCCAAAATAGTGCACTACTTTTGACCAGAGCTCTATGAGCCCTGGTCCAAAGGGGGGCAGTACATATGGAATAGGGTGCCATTTGGGATGAAGCCCTAATAATGCATGAGCAGAAAGATGGTGAATGTTTACAAGCGGGAGTGGCATTAGAGTCGTACCAATAACAGCCCTGTCCAGATCCTGAGGGTTGTTTCTGTTTGGGTCGTTGAGCTGGGCCAACACTGAGTCCAGAGCATTGGGGTCAGAACCATTCAGGATGAAATGCTCCAGGAACCTGTCAAGAAATGTATACTGAACAAAAATATAAACGCAACATGCAACAATTTCAAAGATTTTACTGAGTTACAGTTCATATAAGGAAATCAGACAATTGAAATAAATTGATTAGGCCCTAATCTATGACTGGGAATACAGATATGCATCTGTTGGTCACAGATACCTTAAAAAAAGAAGGTAGGGGCGTGGATCAGAAAACCAGTCAGTCTCTGGTGTGACCACCATTTGCCTCATGCAGCTCGACACATCTCGTTCGCATAGAGTTGATGAGGCTGTTGATTGTGGCCTGTGAAATGCTGTCCCACTCCTCTTAAATGGCTGTGCGAAGTTGCTGGATATTGGCGGGAACTGGAACACGCTGTCGTACACATCGATCCAGAGCATCCCAAATGTGCTCAATGGGTGACATGTCTGGTGAGTATGCAGGCCATGGAAGAACTGGGACAATTTCAGCTTCCAGGAATTGTGTACAGATCCTTGCGACATGGTGCCATGCATTATCATGCGGAAAATGAGGTGATGGCAGATGAATGGCACGACAATGGGCCTCAGGATCTCGTCAGAGTATCTCTGTGCTTTCAAATTTACATTGATAAAATGCAATTGTGTTCATTGTCCATAGCTTATGCCTGCCCATACCATAACCCCACCGCCACCATGCGGCACTCTGTTCACAATGCTGACATCAGCAAACCGCTCACCCACACGACGCCATACACGTGGTCTGTGGTTGTGAGGCCAGTTGGACGTACTGCCAAATTGTCTAAAACGATGTTGGAGGCGGTTTATGGAAGATAAATTAACATTAAATTATTTGGCAACAGCTCTGGTGGACATTCCTGCAGTCAGCATGCCAATTGCACACTCCCTCAAAACTTGAGACATCTGTGGCATTGTGTTGTGTGACAAAACTGCAAATTTTAGAGTGGCCTTTTACTGCACAAGGTGCACCTGTGTAATGATCATGCTGTTTAATCAGCTTCTTGATATACCACACCTGTCAGGTGGATGGATTATCTTGGCAAAGGATAAATGCTCACTAACAGGGATGTAAACAAATTTGTACTCAAAATTTGAGAGAAATAAGCTTTTTTGTGCGTATGGAACATTTCTTGGTTATTTTATTTCGGCTCAAGAAACATGGGACCAACTCTTTACATGTTGTGTTTATATTTTTTGCTCAGTGTAGATATGGCATAATTTCATAAATTGTACCTACCATAACCATAGTCAATATAGCATTGATTGTGTTATGAAGCATGTTAATGGGTGTGAGTAATGAGATAAATTACACAATTTATGAGGCCTTTATGCATTAAGAGCCATTTTCTGCTCTATATGTCTACAGTACCTTGCTGCAGCCAGTGTCATTGCCACACACATATCGTTGTTCTGGGTGACACGTATGGTCGTCTCCACCTTCTCCAACATCTCCGGCTTCCCAGCGAACATCGCCACAACGGGAGCCATCTTGGTGACCCCGTCCATCTGACAGTCCACATCACATCCTGAAATGGAGAGCGAAAAAGTAAAATTTTTGCTTCCCTCAATTCCTCACCTTCCTCTCAAAGCTCATTGGAGGAGGAGGTCTAAGGGGAGGGACCTTAGAGCCCATCCTCCAATGCGCCTTGAGAGGGAGGTGAGGAGTTGAGGAATCAAGGACAGAAGGAATCAACGATTTGACGGCTTGTACTTTTTTCAAACAGGTTTTGTCTAAATATAACTCATAATAAATTAACCCAGGACAGACGTGCTTCCTTTCAGCTGGTGATCTGTATGTTACTGTACCTGTCTCTTCTTTGCCTGCATCCACGTTCCTCATGAAGGCTTTGAGGCTTGCGTGTCTCCAAGGGCCATCGATGGGGAGGACAGCTTTAGGACCTTAACATTTCAATTGAGAGTGAACAGCTTTAGCTGACTGAAAAAAATATACATGTTCATAAACAGCTGAATAACCATACTGTGGAGAATAGTTTAAAAACCCTGGCTTCATGATAGGAAAGTGTCATTGTCCGGAACAGTTTTTTCAGAAGGGGATAAGTTACCAAAGGGGAAAACAGAACTCGGTGTTATCAAAAACTGACAGAACACAGTACCACTCTACCCCTCTACCCCTCTATGGGACCAGATGTCTATAAAATTATTATCATTTTTTTATACTGTTTCTCTTGTCTTTGGTCAGATGATGGGGCACAGAAAAGCAACAGTTTATACACACACAGGAAATGACTGCTGATTGGTTGCCTACCGTTCTTTTGTCTGTATGGGTTATTGAGAGGAAGATCATACACAGTGTCTGGGCCAAAGAACTTGTAGATGCGCTTGGTCAAGTCCTCCACGTTCACATCTAGTGAATACCAACAAACACATAGAGCATATTAATATATACTATATCATTCATGGAGTGAACACGATAAAACAAAGTCGACATGTTCTTTATTTAGCAAGACATTAGGCCATTGGATATTTGTCCTATTGGGGGTCAGTATGCTACCTCCACATTGGCTGAGCGACTCTAGCAGTACGTAGGCCTGGTCTCCGTAGCAACTCTGCTCTCCGGTCTCTCTGCGGTAGAACGGGTTAGCAGACTGAGGGCGGAACTCTGGACACGGTTCCAGATCTGACAGAACCTCCTTCAGTCGCTCTGGGTTGTAAATCCAATGCATGGGCTGGGCTGTTAGGGTGGGGTACATAGAAAATAGAAAGTTACTGGACTGATAGTGTAGCCTTAGTTGTATGTATTGAGTCATTGTTATAGTCTTTAACCCTTATTTCCTGTGGATGTATTATAAAGTATCTACAACCATAAATAGGTGTTTCATCAGCTTGGTTCCACTCCACTTCCCTGTCATAATATTCAGTCTTCAGTATGCGTTATGTATTGTGGTTATTAGAGATAATGATATTGGACACTTTCCAATTCTCGAACGTTTTTACGGCCAGTGGACTGTCCAGATCATTAATTGCCATACTGTATGTGTATGGCTTGTAATATTACATATAGCAAGAGTGCAATGTTAATCAATCCATATGACATTGGTTATATGTACTTTCATTCTAATAGAACATTATTGATTTTATAACACTGTTGTTTAACTTTGTTGAGAAGTCAGTGTAGGGTAACACCCTTTTATACTCTCCATATCATCAGTGGCAGATGTGCAGCTGTGCAGATGTCTCATACTGATTGACACCAAGACATTACATCAGAGCTATGTTTGAGCCAGTGCTGCAGTATCTTATTGGGATATTGCTGTTAATGAAAATATATCAGTCCCATGAAATTACCTGCTGCGTCTGCCACAGCTGCTCCAATGATAGCCCCAATGGCTCTCTCTGCCACAGTCGAAGCCATCTGTGTCATTTAGTCCAATAGAAACAGAATTAGCGGTTAAAATGGCTTATCATGCTTTTCTCTTGAAATATTTTCAGTTTTTCTCAGTTTCTCTTGTACTGGATGACAAAATTTGCATTTTGAATAATTGAAATTGAAAACATTAGTACTACGTATTATACTGGCAAGAAAAATAACAATATTTAACATGGCTGTAATACAAAATATATGAATCAACTAAGAAATGTAACAGACAGTTGACCATACCGGCCTCTGTACTGTACGTCATACATTCCAAACAATATGAGTTCATTAGCACACAAGATGAACCATTTCCTTACCGTGGTTTTCTTATTCTCCCCCAGCATCACACTCATGTTGTTTTAAAAACTTGACTGACGCTGTCTGTCTTCTGACGCTGGAGGACTGCCCAGAAATACTGAGACGGTTATAACACTGCAACCATGACTCATGAAAAAGGCCAGAGTTAAAGGTCTGAGAGAGACCGGTAGGGGGCATATAGTCTGATCAGTTATTGCATGGCTCAGGGCAGTGACCTTATGAATGGATGCCATTAGGTTTAAGATAGGACTGTTTAATAAAATATGTTACTCAGTGAAACCATGGTAACCTTTTTTTAATATGGTGTTTGCTCCCAGGATACTCATGTGGGATACTCATGTGGGATACTCATGTGGGATACTCCCCCCCCCCTCCCCCCTCTATTTCCATGTTTGTATGCTTTCCATTCCACTGCTTTGCCCCTCAGTTGTACACAGCTGATGCCCTCTGGCCGTCTGATCTGATCCCCCTCATCCTAACCCTCTCCTGGGTCACCCAGCCCATTGATTCTTCAGGTCTCTCCTGGCCCTTTCAGACCAGCCACATACTGAGAGTGTTAGGGTTATATCATTCAGACGATCAATAAAGGAGCAAAAACAATGAACAAAACCCATGGTGCCTCTTCTATCACTTAGGGGCTATAATACAAGCTCTCAGATCCATTTAGACCGTATCTTCTCTGTCCAACAGTGTTTTGACAATACACCTCAGCTCAGTAATACTATATTTATATACTTACCATAATACACATATAATAACTTTATCTACAGTGTATATACACATTTTAAATCATGTTTATACCATAAGATTATACAATGGGACAAGGCCTAGGTCAACTCTAACATGAGAAGTGTTTGTTCCTGCAAGAGGCTAATGTTACATTCTGGATGTAGCTTAAATAAAACCGCCTGCCCACCCGACGAATCCGGCGACAGCATCTCAGGATGTGGAGTGAAAGGAGCCATGTGGTGTAAAGATATTATCCATTGTCACCAGATGAAATGTCAGTGTGAGAGAGGGCCGAGGAGAGGGTTTGCATTTATTACAGACATAATAACCGGCTAGGGAGAGAAGAGGATTGTGGGAATGTGGGTTATGTGACAGGGCCTGGGTGCTCAGGAGGACTGAGCTTTAGGGCTTTGATCATCTGGCCGCCCAGTGGGGGATGCCATATCCAAGCAATAGGGCAGAGAGAGAGAGTAGAGGGAAAGGAGGCCAAGGGCAAGGAGATAGGACAGAGAGAGAGAGAGAGAGGACATGGAGCGGGAGCAGACAGGACAGCAGAGGGAGAGGAGAGCGGAGAAGGAGAGGGAAGAGGAAAAGCGCGCGATCGAGGAGAGAGAGAGAGAGAGGAGAGAGAGAGAGAGAGAGAGAGGAGAGAGCGAGAGTGAGAGAGAGCAGAGAGAGGAGAAGGCGAGAGAGAGAGAGAGAGAGAGAGAGCGAGAGAGAGAGTAGAGAGCGAGAGGCGAGAGCAGCAGATAGAGAGTAGAGGTAGAGGCGCGATCTAGATCTCTCTCTATCATCTCTATCTCTCTCGCTCTCTCAGCTCTCTCCTCTACTCCCCCTCCCTCCCTCCCTCCCTCCCTCCCTATACACAAATAGGACTTCTAAAGAATAACAGTATCAAACCAAGTTTATGTTCCATAACATAAATTAACTGGAAATCTTACTCACCATTGCTCTCGTGAATCAAAGCATTTTTAAAAGCAATAAGAAAGTTCAGGACAAATATGTACAAATACGGTCAGCGCTTTTCAGCCAGTCTCCATCGATTGTGTATCGTATCTCATACTGTATGCCCCAAACCTCAACATTCACTCAGACTCCAACAAACGGTTATCAAAATCTCCCAACCTAATTACATTGAAATGAGAGGATACTTGTTTAGATGACCAAATCCCCTCATAAGACAATGGCACACTCTGGGTATATCCTCTGTGATGAGGAGTACAATTCAAATCATCATTCACATTACCAGACAAGGGGAACAGACTCATTTGAAGCCTCTCTGTATGTGTCTATCTATGTTGATAAATCTCTATATTTATCTCCAGACGTGACGCTTGGCATTCAGGCCAAAGAGTTCAATCTTGGTTTCATCAGACCAGAGAATCTTGTTTCTCATGGTCTGAGAGTCCTTTAGGTGCCTTTTGGCAAACTCCAAGCGGGCTGTCATGTGCTTTTTACAGAGGAGTGGCTTCCGTCTGGCCACTCTACCATAAAGGTCTGATTGGTGGACTGCTGCAGAGATGGTTGTCCTTCTGGAAGGTTCTCCCATCTCCACAGAGGAACTCTGGAGCTCTGTCAGAGTGACCATCGGGTTCTTGGTCACCTCCCTGACCAAGGCCCTTCTCCCCGGATTGCTCAGTTTGGCCGGGCGGCCAGCTCTAGGAAGATTCTTGGTGGTTCCAAATTTCTTCCATTTAAGAATGATGAAGGCCACTGTGTTCTTGGGGACTTTCAATGCTGCAGAAATGTTTTGGTACCCTTCCCCAGATCTGTGCCTCGACACAATCCTGTCTCGGAGATCTATGGACAATTCCTTCGACCTCATTGGTTTTTGCTCTGACATGCACTGTCAACTGTGGGACCTTATATAGAAAGGTTTGTACCATTCCAAATCATGTCCAATCAATTGAATTTACCACAGGTGGACTCCAATCAAGTTGTAGAAACATCTGAAGGATGATCAATGGAAACAGGATGCACCTGAGCTAAATTTCGAGTCTCATAGGAAAGGTTCTGAATACTTATGTATTCATCTGAAGAATGATGATAACTACCTGGCAGTCAGATTGTCCTGCACGTCCTGCGTCGATGTGTGGAGTCTCTGGGAGATAGATAGCTGTACTGTAACAGGAGCTGAGTGGTGGTGAGAGGACAGAGGATGGTCTTGTCACAAATGGCACCCTATTCCCTATGTAGTGCACTACTTTGGACCAGTAGTGCACTATATAGGGAATAGAGTGCCATTTGGGATGCAGTCAAGATAGTGCCTGGTCTGGACATGGGCCACATCTCCAGTCATATGCTCTGCTGCGCTGGCCTTGGCATCCAGAACCCACCATGCTAGGCCACGCCATGCCAGCTGCCTACTGTTCAATCAATTCACTCCCCATCCTCATCCTCTTCATCCCTCAGAGAGAGAGGGAGAGAAAGAGATATCTCTGCAGAAAATGTAAAGAATTGAATAACACAGAGAACAGTGTTTAGTGGATGTCTAAACTTTACATGTTGGTGATAAGACTACAGCTGGAACAGAACTATACTGAATTCCATGGTTGACCAATCCCCTTATACAATGTAAGCACAAGAAACTGGTACCTAGCAGAGATGGGAGCTGTGTTAGCCCACACACATTCCCCCAGTGAATCATAGCCTATACCTGTAATGAATAAGTCACACATAGCAATTCTTTGGGGATTTGGGACCCTTGCATTGGTCCCTAAGTCTCATTGGAACACTGAATATTAATGGCAATTTCCATTCTTTTTCAGAGCTCTAATTGCTGCGGGAGAAAATGGCAAGTTTTGTATTTAAGTCACAACAGTACATACTCAATATACTCAAGCATGACACAATTCATTTTCACAAACATGTAAGATTTCCTGCTTTGTTTCACATTTCCCTGGCAATCAAAATGCATAGAGGACCAGTGAATGATTCAGCAAAAAGAAAGAAGGAAAGAAAGAGGGGCAGCGAGACCGAGACTGAGAGCAAGAGCGAGCGAGAGAGCGAGAGAGCGCGAGAGAGAGAGAGAGAGATTCTGTCAGACCTAGGCCCTGACAGTAAATCTCAGTAAGACAAAAATAATGGTGTTACATAAAAGGTCCAGTTGCCAGGACCACAAACACAAATTCCATCTAGACACCGTTGCCCTAGAGCACACAAAAAACTATACATACCTCAGTGCATCAGGTAACTTCCACAAAGCTGTGAACAATCTGAGAGACAAGGCAAGAAGGGCCTTCTATGCCATCAAAACGAACATAAAATACGACATACCAATTAGGATCTGGCTAAAAATATTTGAATCAGTTATAGAACCCATTGCCCTTTATGGTTGTGAGGTCTGGGGTCCGCTCACCAACCAAGAATTCACAAAATGGACACCAAATTGAGACTCTGCATACAGAATTCTGCAAAAATATAATCAGTGTACAATGAAAAACACAAAATAATGCATGCAGAGCAGAATTAGGCCGATACCCGCTAATTATCAAAATCCAGAAAAGAGCCGTTAAAATCGATAACCACTTAAAAGGAAGCAATTCCCAAACCTTCCATAACAAAGCCATCACCTACAGAGTGATGAACTTGGAGAAGAGTCCCCTAAGTAAGCTGGTCCTGGGGCTCTGTTCACAATCACAAACAGACCCCACAGAGCCCCAGGACAACAACACATTTAGACCCAACCAAATCATGAGAAAACAAATAGAGAATTACTTGACACATTGGAAAGAACAAAAAAACTGAGCAAACTAGAATGCTATTTGGCCCTAAACAGAGAGTACTCAGTGGCAGAATACCTGACCACTGTGACTGACCCAAACTTAAGGAAAGCTTTGACTATGTAGAGACTCAGTGAGCATAGCCTTGCTATTGAGAAAGGCCGCCGTAGGCAGACCTGGCTCTCAAGAGAAGACAGGCTATGTGCACACTTCCCACAAAATGAGGTGGAAACTGAGCTGCACTTCCTAACCTCCTGCCAAATGTATGACCATATTAGAGACACATATTTCCCTCAGATTACAGCGATCCACAAAGAATTCAAAAACAAACCCAATTTTGATAATCTCCCATATCTACTGGGTGAAATACCAGTGTGCCATCACAGCAGCAAGATGTGTGACCTGTTGCCTCAAGAAAATGGTAAACAGTGAAGAACAAACACCATTGTAAATACAACCTGTCACGGTGTATAATAATAGGAAGACAGGCGCAGGAATACGTATTAGGGGTTTTATTTCTCCACCCAAAACAAGGTACATCATAAAAAACAACGGGGATGAAGCCCAAAACAAACACATATATATATACAGTGGGGGAAAAGGTATTTAGTCAGCCACCAATTGTGCAAGTTCTCCCACTTAAAAAGATGAGAGAGGCCTGTAATTTTCATCA